TCCACGGTCTAGCAACGCGCAACGCGCGATTATTCGTCAATCTTTTAAAATTAATATCTCAATTATTATTGCGAAAATTGCAAAACGGTAAAGGACTGTTTTATTCAGTTTACCGCACTCTATCCGCACACGAGCGTTGGCACGGCATTATGAAACACCCTGTATATAAATTTATTAATGTAATAATATAAATGTTTTTTTTTTCGAATTTCAAAATTTTCTAAGCAGCTCAATTAGACCTCATATTACGTCATTTTCTCTTTTATATATATATATATATATATTATAAGTTAAAAACAAAACGTTTGTCGACTTATAAGGAATACTATTTAATTGAACCTTAAAATTGATACAATGACCTCCGGATCAGCGTTCATTCCGGAAACGTTTACAATACGTCACAAGTATTTTTACATATCATTAAACTGGAAGCTCTGATGCAAAAACGATTTTAGTGTTCTGCGACGCACATGTCTTCACGTGTCTTCTTTTCGCAAGTGTGTTCATAGAGTACGTATTTTGTTGCGTTATAATATACAATAGTGACATAGATTGTAATAATAGCGGGAAATAAAGTTTATAGCAAAGTTGTGTAAAAGAAGAAAAAGCGTTGCATAGTGAAAAAATATCACGACTAATATCACGATAGATTATTACGTGATGCATTTACTTTTGTACACGCCTTCAGTAATTGAAATATTATAACCACTTATATGTTGCCCCTTTAATTTTTAATATCTTATCACTGCAAATTCGTTAATTTAATTAATTTTTATAAACATTACATTTTGCACAATAATATATGCATATTCTGTGATACATATAAATCACAAATTTCTCAAATGTCATATCTTACAATGTGGATAACGGTAAATTAAATAATTAAATGAACGTAATGTTTAAATATAATATAAATCAAAAATAAATTTCATATATTAACTGGAAAATTTGTATTACTAATTTAAAATATTCGCATATTAGCATAAATATACTCAGATGCATTAATGGTGTCCGTTTATGTAACAATCAAATTTCTCGCTTTAACGTTTCGAAAGCACGAAGAACCCTCTTTGTTTCCGTAAATGATTTCCTTCGCAAAATAATTGCGAAGGAAAGAAAAATAATCAATAATTGGCATATTATTTATCACGAACTTATCACGAATACAAACGTACTACATATTAAGAATATATTAGTTTGTTACATAATTGTGAATGTTCAATTAATCAAACATTATCCCCTCTCCTCCCCCACCATAGACATAAAACGTTATCGCTATCACCAACTATAAGTACCGTATTTGGATATTGCGTAGATAGACAGCCTTTCCAGTAATAGAATGCTGCATGAAATGAACCCCAGTTTTCTGGACGCTAAGTCCGAAAACTCCGAGAAACTGAGATTGGAATCATGCATCGCGCGCTCAAGAATATCGCGAAAAATGGACAATAATGGTATGTATTCTTATATTTCATATATAGAAAACGGACTAACAATAATATAACGTTGCTACGATTAATTTAACTAATATATTTAATTAATAATTTATTTATTAATTCTCAATAAATTGCAAAAAAAATACCTTTGCATGTATAATCAAAAATGTATCTTTTTGAAAGTGTATCATATGAAAAGAAGCTATTTTTATTCGAGTAGGAAAGAGAAAGTTTAGTTTCTTCCAAATTAACTTAAAAAAAAAACACTATTCCATTTATTTCATCCTGAAAATATGTTATTAAATAATAAAACTAAATCTTCGATATTAAAGAATAGACATCTGTAAAAAACATGTAAATCTGTAAAACATTGTAACAAAAAAAGCAATGAAAAAATCATAATAAATTAAAACATTAATGTTAGTAATTTGTTAAAGAAGTAACTATAACGCAGCAACATTTATTATATAACATTTATTATATATTGTATAACACAACTCCATTAATTGCCCTTTATTCATTATTAAAAAGATAGCACAAAAGAAAGATTTGCATGTCTAAAAATAGAGCCGATGCTTGTTTAGTGATTTAAGATTTAAAAAGATTTTTCCACTTTCTATTTTCTGGATCGTTATCGCACATTAATAATGATTTCTATTATATTCTTATATATACAGGGTGTCCGATAATTGCTGAATCACCTCTCGGGTGCAGGTAGAGCGGGTTAAACCGAGTAGAATAGTTTTGCGATTTTCGCAATAATTAATGAGAAATTAATTAAAGAAGATCGGCCAATTTGCGCGAGTCTAAACGCGCGGCGAGAAGAGACAGTTGTTACGTGGTCGCTAGGACGCAAGGATCTAGCGTTACACACCGCTCGTATGTGCCGTTATCATTTATAGAGCGCTCCTCCCAACGATTTATCGTGCGCCTAGTAACCAAATAACAGTGGGCTGTATCACCATGGGTCTCTTCTCGCCGCGCTCTTAAACTCGCGCGAATTGGCCGATATTTTTTAATTAATTCCTCATTAATTATTGCGAAAATCGCAAAATGATAGAGGACTTTTCTATTCGATTTAAACCGCTCTACCTACACCCGAGAGGTGATTCAGCAATTATCGGACACCCTGTATATTCTTTTTAAAGTTTCTTTGTTCTTTTTAAAGTAATATAGACTTTTAGAATTTAATTTCCAAAATCTAAAGCGTTATAGGTATTGCATGCTTATTTCTTTCCCTATATGTATACAACTATATATATTATTATATATTATTATATATTGTATATATTATTGTGTGCGCGCGCGCGCGTGTGTGTGTGTGTATGTAGTTTATTATACTTTATTACTTTTAAATTCATATAAATAAAATATTATCTGCTTCAAACTTTTAGCGCTTAAAATAATCAGATGTTTGATTAATTGAACAACCGTAACTTAAACTAATTCCTACTCCTATCTACTTTCATTGTTTGCGTTCTTTGATATCTAAAAGACTTCAAAATCTTTATTTAGCAATTCAAAGTACGATGTTTTTCATTATCCAGTAAATGGCATAGAATTAATCTTTTAAAATAAAAATTTTCTTTGTAACTAAATGCATAGCAATCAATGGTGTTTGCAAAATATAAACGAATACATTCATATTTAATTTATTTTACAGCAAACAATATTCTTTATACATAGATATATAATGATACCTAATGCTTTTTCAATTGTGTTTTGTAATTTTTCGTCTGCTGAATAATTTTATTAATTTAAATCGCAGATAAACGGCACGTGTATTTCGTTGGAATTTGCTGTAAAGTTCAAGTAATTCAGATTTAGTTTCAATAACAAACTGTGATTAACATATTTTGTATCTCGTAATTCACTGATAATCTATAGATATTAACTTTCTATTCAAACCTTTTGAAATTAAATATTTTATTTTATACCTTTCTAATAATTTTTATAATTATATTTTTATAATCTCATATAATAAACCGCATGAACATACAACAAATTATATAACAAATTTTACGATATAAATATAAAATCAGAGCGACATAAACATAATATAAACAGACGGCTATCGTCTATCCACGAGACACAGAAAATAACCAGAGTTAAACTTTTATATTTGAAAAACTACACACACTCGCAATATAAAAAACCGCGTATTTTTTTATTTATTATTTAATTTCTCGCGAATTTTATTTCGCTACAGTAATTTTATATTTGAATTTTGAGACACTCTGTATGTATACTCCGTACATGAGAATTAATAGCAATTTATATAACAATGAATGATAAACTTTATAATATAACAAAAGTGGATATCGCAAGAAAATTATTTATCCATTAAATAAAACCATAGGTTTTGATTTAGCAAATTCTCCAAGTTTTGCGAAATATTGTGATTTATAGACAAACAATACTTGTACATTTCTAATTGCTATTCTAAAAGTATCAGATTAGTAAAATGTCTTTCTTCTCTATTAATTGATTTTAATATTTTAATATTATTTAATTGTAATAATATATATGATAAAGGCTTCTCGAGCCATCGCTGGTTGTTAGTGCGAAATTTTTAATGTTTCATATAAAAACTTGATTCGTCTACATTGAGACATTAAAGTGTACATTGATCTCAGATTCGAGATACTAGTTTTTGATTACTTACACATTGCAACAAGTAAAACGGATGTAAAATGAATATAAACGGATATAAAACGAATGATAACTGTATCTACTAATTTGACAATCAATGGTTGACATTTTAATTATATACCACATTTATCATAGTTTATCGCAAGCCTAAAATCACAAACAATGTCAGATCTCCGCGATACATTTTTATTTCATTTTCGTGTAACTAATGTTCAAATTAAAAAAATCTTATAAAATCTTTTTATCTTCAAAAAGATAAGACAATAATCTACGAGAGTTGCAGCTATTATCAATTTTACGATTAGCCAACCTTGACATATCTTCCGACAAAAAAATGTGTTTTTGTAAAGACAAATAACTCTTTCATTAATGTTACATCTCTTAGACGTTTCATTGTTTTTACAAGTCATTAAACACTTCTCAGGTATATAGGTACTCAATAGTTACTATAGGTAGCTTAGACAATCGACGTGAGCGCGTGCAGCGTGTGGATCTGTTTTATGACTTACGTTTAATCATTTCTAAATCCGTTTGAATGCAAGTATAATGGCTCATAGTGACAGTGAAAGAAGTGATGTACTTCCGTTACATCGCAAACAATTAACAAGTATAATTATTAATAATTGTAACAATATTGATAATGAAAGTCATAATTCGTTGAAACAGCATTGATACATGGTGCGTTTTTATTTTTTATATTTTATGTTTCCAGTTATATCATCTTCATTTATTTCTAGTTATATTATCTCTATTTTTTTTTTATTACATTTGATTCTTTTCTATCACAATTCCGATTTAACTTGTAAAATATCGTTATCAAAAATATCTCTTTTATTTCATCATTCGATTCCGTGTAGTACTCGAGAAAATTCTTAAAACTCGTCTCGAATTACAATGTGTTCTTTCGTTCTTTCCGTTAACGTTAACTCGGCGCATATTTCTACGCGATCTCTGATTGAAATGCCAATGCAAAAGGTTGAATTGTCCGGTAAAAATATTTAATTCCATCATTCACTGATATTTGTAGTATTCGCGCATATATTGCAAAAGTAGAGAGGTGATTCTCAACGAACTGTTTCTTCCATTAAAATACAATTAACGGATATTGTAATGAACACTTGTATTTTTGCGACGATATGCGTGCTGCATTAAACGCAATCATTGCCATTTACGCAACAATCTTACAAAATGTAATACTTTGCAGATGATTTACTACGCATCCGAGCTTTATTAGATATTCGTTCAATTAACGCCGATCGAAGCGAATTCTATCGAAGGAACGAAGGTTACATCTGTTAGCGATAAATATTGCTCGGATTAAATTATCGCGCGCACCTGCTGCTTTTCCGTTGCTCCGTCATATCGTCTTTTATCTCATTTCTCACTCTCGTTATACCTTTATCTATCAGTTCTTCTTTAAATTAATTTAGGCACATAAACAAAGCACAAATTACGAACCCGTGCTATCAGTGCAGGCAACTTTCATTTAACACTACACTAAGAAAAAAATTATTATAATTATCAAAAACATGACTAGTTGACAATAATCTTCTTTGTTTATAATTTTATGCATTTAAATTAGTCAATCATATTATTAAATTAATGCAATTTGAAATAACAATATTGTTTGTTGAAATATTCACTCAGTGAATTTTGTAGTTTTGACAAACGTGCAGTGAATCTGACAATGCTGAATCAAATAGATGATGCAATTGATAAGTCAGATTAAAATTTAATATTATTTTTTAAAACGCATCGTTGTGTCCAAAAATATTTTTTGCTCAATGTATATAAATCAAAATTATAGTATAGTTATGAAAAATATTATTTTCTTATTTTTGCAAACAGTATATGTGGAGCAATCCCAGGAAAGTAGCAAAAATAATACAAACATCCCATAATAAGTATAATTCATGTAGTATGTTTGATGTGTCAGTTATCATATTATTATTCTATCTTGTACGTGGGAGTAGATCCTATATATCAACTTATTAAATAAATCATCTAGACTGGCAAGAAACAGCCAAACATTGGGGCAAAGAATGTACGACTCCGAGTTGTCTTCATTAATCAATTTCTGCGTAGAAGCCGCACGCGTATATCGGCGCGTGACTTTTACATGAAGTAAAAAAATAAAACGGACATATTCAAGTCTTAGGTAGAAGTAGAAAGCCAAAACAATAAGTCTGATACACGTCCTAAGAACGGCAAAACAATAAACCTCCTAATAAAATCTAAATCGTGTGCGACACGGATTCGAGCAAATGACATTACGCAATTCTTACAAGTGACCTCTGCGAGCTCGCTCTAATAAAGTCTCTTCCGGATTGCGTAACTCTCTATTTCCCGAGAAATAAGGTGCCACACCACCTGATACTAAGAACTCCTCGGTCGTAAGTCCCGAGGGACCGTTGCGGTAGAATGTTTGCAAAGAAGTGAAACATGAGGCTGAAATATTCATCACTAGAAAATTCAAGTTGCGGCAATCTTTTTCCACTTTCATCTTCGCATGTATAATATTTTGCAAAAAATATAATTATCGTGAAAATGAGAGCGCCGATTAATACATGTAGAATGCGACAATCATGTATCTCATAGAGGTGCGCGTTAGCGACGGATAACTCTCTCTCTCTTTCTTTCTTTCTCTCTCTCTCTCTCTCTCTCTCTCTCTCTCTCTCTCTCTCTCTCTCTCTCTCTCTCTCTCTCTCTCTCTCTCTCTCTTCTTCTCTCTCTCTCTCTCTCTCTCTCTCTTTCTCTCGTAGGCGACTGTAGGCGACTTTGTGAGCTCACTGGTATAAGGATAAAGATCGTGCGGATTTATATATAGATAAGATAGGATTAATTAGTTTTTGATTAATGCAGCGAGTCTGATCTGAGCGTTAACACTTTGATTTCTCTTTTTTTTTTGTAATAATAATTATTGTTTCTTTTGCAAAAAACTGTTTTTTTATATATATATATATATATATATAGATAGACCTACTTTCTCAAGAGAGAGACATCATCTCGTGTCTGTAGTCGATACCACAATCTTGCGATTTCTGCCTACTTTATAAAATAAAACTACTTATTCATTCATATTAAAACATTGCGATTAAATTTATTTTCTAACACTATCTATATAATTTATATTCAAATCATTTAAATTCTTCTCATCTTTTCATCCCTTAAGCATCATCTACGTCAAAGCATCACAAACATTTCGTTACGTAACAGCATGACGTCAAATATTTGACGTAACAATTTTTATATTCAGAAAATTACGACGCGTGCAAAAGTCGTATCGCATGAAAAATGTAATCGGAAGAATAGTTGATTTCTAAAGCAAAAAAAGAATCAACCAAGAAACAATATAAAAGTTGACCGAATTATTTTCAAATGCAATATATTGTCATTTGATATTCGCTATTTCTGAAGAAAAAAATACATTATGTATTGAAGCCATCAAAATTTCTTTCCTTGTTTCATTTTCGTTCTTAAAGCTCACATATGACATATACACACAATTTCCATACATTTATGAATAATATTGCCTTCATTAATGTAAATCTGACATAATTTATTCATATTCCGATTATACGATGGCCATTTCTTGTCCGTAGCAGTAAATAAAAAAAAAGAGACACTTCATGCATCTAAAAAGGTTCGGTCTGAAGACCCACAAACACCGCCTACATCTTATTTCCAGGCAGCATTTCTTATCGCATAACGCATTTTCTCCGTAACGGATAAATATCACCGAGATCTCACGGGGCACGGCCAATACATGATCGCGGAGTGAATCGGGGTGAGACGAAACGAAACAAGATGCGGTACGATGGTACGGTCCGTGGTGGTTTTCCCTGCGATTTTCTCAGTTCCGCGTGCACACTGCTGTGGTGTCACCGAGCAACGAAGTATTAAGGCGCAACGTCAGTAATTCACGATACACGGAAACAAACACGTGGGCAACGACGACGACGACGACGACGACGACGACGACGACGACGACGACGACGGCGACGACGACGCGTTAAAGGAAAAGCGGCCCAGATAGAAAATTGCTATGAACTCAGTACATAACACGCGCTGCGTCGAATAAATTATTCATAGAGCGTAAAAAGTGTCGACAAGTCGGTATCACGCTGTAGCTACATGAAATATATCACCCCGCTTTTTCATACAACGATTAAACAAATAAACGATGTTGCTCAGAGCCCTTCTGGGAGAAGAAATTGAGATAAAGCGATAAGTCGAGCAGGAAATTCGTCGCTATTAATTAATGAAATATTGTGAAGCAAATTTAAAAAATCAAGAAAATCATCTTTTGCGTAAGTTAAATACAAATATAGAAAGAAACTAAAAAGAATTCTTTAATATAAAATTGTGAGAATCAGAAAAGAGTTAAGCAAATGACAGCGTACAGAAATTAACGCTATAAATATGCAAAAATGATCCTTTCTTGGCAATAGTTAAAGTAATAAAGATTATATATTATGCAAAAATGATTATAATAATCGAGAACATAACAATCGCGAAAGCACCAAAAATTGAATAAAATACTAAGCAATTTACTTCAAGAAATATGTATTCTTAGACGCGACAAGTTTCTCGTCAAGATAAACTCTTGACATAGTTTCTCTACACGACAAACACAATTAAAGATAATTTCCAAGATTGCAACTTTCGTCAAAGCTCAAAGCGGCCTGCTGTGCTTTATACACAGCGAGAAGAACATTGTCTTAATTATTATCTAATTTCTTG